AAGGTCCTGGGAGCCCGCGGGTGTGTCTACAGCCTCACCTCCTGGGCCTGTAAAGATCCCAGGGGCCAGCGGATGTGGAAGGTCTTGGGAGCCCGCAGGAGTGGCTACGGCCTCACCTCCCGGACCTGCAAAGGTCTTGGGAGCCCGCGGCCATGGCTGCTGTCGCCTCCTGGGGCGCCTGACACTTGCGTATGCAAATTAACCACCATCTTTCCTGGGTTAATTTGCAGTCACTCTGATTGGCTGGTGGGCGTGGCTTGTGGGTGTGGTCTGTGGGCGTAGCTTGAGCATAGCAGAGGGATGGCTAATTTGCATGTTTCTCTTTTATTATATAGGACTAGAGGCCCGATGCACCAAATTTGTGCAAGAGCCTTGGCGCCGGCCCCCCACCCACTGTGGCTAGGGGCCTCTGCCGCTGCTGCCTCAGCACCCGCCCACTGCGGCTTTGTCCAGAAGGAAGGACATCCGGAAGGATGCCTGGTCTAATTAGCATATTACCCTTTTATTATTATAGATAATTATTGTTACTGAGATAAGAACAAAAAGGAACACAGAGCACTGTATAAAGGCATTTTCATGAATAAAATAAAGATGGCCTATCAGAATTCAGCACTCCCTATTCATATCTTGGCACTTATTTTTTTTAAAAAAGTCACATGAGTATGACCAATTGACCAATGGACACAGACAGTAGGGGGTGGGAGCATGTGCTGGGGGGGCAGGAGCATGCAGGGTGAGGTAAATAGAAGAAAAAGGAGACATATGTAAAACTTTTAACAATAAAGAATTAAAAAAATAATTTAAAAAAGTGACTATCCTGTCACCTAGAAATAGGGAATATGTATGTTGACACTGGAATAAAATAAATGACTTAATTACTCATTAATTCATAAGTCACATTACTTATATGTTAACCTGTCAAAATGTATAATTTTCTAATTAATTATCTCTATTCACTGTTTTAGAAAATGTCCTAAATTGAGATGTGAGATTTAGATAAGAGGAAAATTAAGGTGGTCAGCTGCATGCAATCTAGTTCTGTGGCTATATTTGTACCACAATACATAAATGTTTGTATAAATACTCCTCTTACCTTTGTATAAAAATACCTCCTTGGGAAAGGAATGTTTGAGAGATTGCCCTTTAATTTTCTAAATAAAAAGAAAGCTAACCATTTTGAAAAATATTAAACCAACTTTGCTTTAGTAAGCCCATATTCTGAGCCACAATTAATTTTTACCTGAGGAAGGAAAAACAATGCAACAGCCAAATCCTTAGAGATTGTGTAGACAAGTAGAGATGTTTAAACAGCTCCAGAGCTGGAACGTTGTAGCTTTCTGTTCCACTGTTACATTTTATTTATTTCTAATCGTGAACTATTTCAAACATTTTAAAAATTAGAGATAACAATGTCATAGACATACAGGAATTCACCATCTACATTTAGTAATGGTAATATATTGCAATATTTACTTGAGAAATATATTTTTGAAGAGACAATGCTTCCTTTATATACTGCCTTCTTTATATAATTGTTTAACTTCCTGTTTACTTTACACTGGCTTACGTCAAATTATCAGTTAAAGGGCTAGAAGATATGGCTACTCTTTTGGAAGTACATTTGTTAAGAAAAATATACTCAAGAGGGCAGAAATCTGGCACTGGGAAAAATGGGGTTTTAACAGTTTAAAACTTCATAAAGGAAAAACATGATATGGATAAGAGTCCAAATCTCGTTAAGACAATTAACACAAATTAACTAATATTAAACCATTTGAAGAACAACCAGAAGACTGGATTATTAACCATTCTTACAAAGTTCTCCCCTACATTCTCAAAGGCTTCATAACTGTAATCTTTAATAAATTTAGTATTATATTATACAGTAATACTGAGATTTTTAATTCTTCTTCTAAAACAGTGGTTCTCATCCTTGGCTGCACATTAGAATCACCTGGGAATCTTTTTAAAATCCTGATTTCTGGGCCTCATCCTCCGGAAATTCTGTTTCTTTGTTATGGGGTGAGGCCACAACATTAGTAACAAAGAAACAGAATTTCCAGAGGATGAGGCCCAGAAATCAGGATTTTAAAAAGATTCCCAAGTGATTCTAATGTGCAGCCCAGGTTGAGAACCGCTGTATTTTCAGGCCTGTAGGAATATCTAGCTTGGGTTTTGCTACACATTTATAATTAATTAAAATAAATATTTATTTAAAAATTTGCTTTAAAGAAACAGACTTTAAAACATACGTGTTGAACAATAAAATTATATGTGGTTACCACTTTCTGAAAACAAAACCAATAAAATAGATTTCTTCAGTTTAAAGAATCATAATGAGTGTATACTTCAGAATAGTTTAAGTATTTCAAGCTTTCAAACAAAACATAAATTTAAAAAAATCCCCACCATTTGCACATAAAAATGGTTAAGATGCTAAATTTTATGTTTGTTTTTTTACCACAAAACAAAAAACATGTGAGTCCTGATACTGTTTCCAAAGTCACATGTTTAGAAGAAAACTGAAACCATTTGTATTCAAAACAGGCAATAAGAGATGACTTAAACTGACATAAATGTTGTGGAACTTGAATCTCCCCAGACAGTAGATTCTCTGCTACAAGGTGGTCACTTAAACTGATTCCACCTTCCTTGGCTCCTCTCCTTTCAGCTATTTCAAAGGTAATTCCCTTCGCAGCCCCTGCCTTTTAGCCACTGCCTCACCAGGGAACCAGCACGCATGCTTTCCCTTAACTGTGCATATTTGTTAAAACTGCGGGAAGTTTTCAGCGCCTTCAGTGAAGTCATTACAGTCGGCTGCCTTTTCTTTCTATACATCAGAGTCCTTTTAATGTTCGATGAGGATTACAGTAACAAAGATATGTTTCTACGTATTACCTCAGCTCATTCGGGATTTCCCACTGCATAATGCTGCAGTGTTGCTCATTCCGCATACAGTCTTATAGCCAGGCTAACAGGTAATTGTTTTCATAGCTTTCCAGAAGGATATAAGGTATACTTATGTACAAAAAGTTAAGTAGAATGACTTAACAGCACACCTAAATTCCTACTGGCCTTCATTTAGCCTAAAACTGAGCAGTAGCTTTCAATAAACAGAAAAGACAACAGAGGGGGAAAGGCCTTATTGCTCCGTTGTCCATCAATGGATGAAGAATAAAATGTACTGAGCAGCTGGACCGGAAGAAGCCCTAAAATCGAAAGGATAATTGCAGATGAAATTGCCATCTATAGGGAAAACAAAGAAAGTTTTAGCACGAACATCTTCACACCTCACTTTTAAGAGAGCCAGGTCATCTAAATTATTTCTAAAATTTCTTCCAATTAACTAAGAACATGACATGTCATTCCAGGCAATATTTTTATTTACTATATGTATAAACTAGTATGTGCATTTGGCATAGTGATTCATGCTCATTAATCAGCCTCAGATACTTTTATTGCTTCAAGTTGAATTCACAATGATTAATTTAAAAATTTGTCTGAAACTTCAAATTTTATTTATCTGTTGCTAAGTTTCCAGGAAAGAAATGGCAGAATTGTTCTTAAAAGGAAATAAGGCCCAATTTAGACATGATTTTAAAAAATAAATTTGGCAAAAAGTGGAAACCTCATATGGTAGACTACACATATACATATATAATTTTCTAATGTGAACTTTAAAAAACAACTTCAAATTTCAACAATTCCTTTCTGCCAGCATCAAATCCAAAGTTTCCTGGCTGAACTGACTTGCTGCTCTCTTTGGAC